TGCTGTTTGTCCTGGATCACACTGCTGTATCACACTGCTGTTTGTCCTGGATCACATTGCTGTATCACACTGCTGTATCACACTGCTGTTTGTCCTGGATCACACTGCTGTATCACACTGCTGTTTGTCCTGGATCACATTGCTGTATCACACTGCTGTATCACACTGCTGTTTGTCCTGGATCACACTGCTGTATCACACTGCTGTTTGTCCTGGATCACATTGCTGTATCACACTGCTGTATCACACTGCTGTTTGTCCTGGATCACACTGTTGTAACACACTGCTGTTTGTCCTGGATCACACTGTTGTAACACACTGCTGTTTGTCCTGGATCACACTGTTGTATCGTATTGCTGTCTGTCCTATTCTTTCCAAGGAGAAGGTGTCCCGCCCCAATGAAGATGCTGGATCTCGGTAAGGTCGAAGGGTGAGCTGGGAAATTCACTAATGTCCTGACAGCCGGAAAACTGAATATTTCCTTTTCTATCACGGTGGCCAGCCAAACCCCTTCCAGGGCCCTAAACAAATTTTGAGTAACCTAGTCACCATTTCTCCTCTTCTGGCCCAGGCTTATCAGATGGGGGTGCCCCCTGGTGGCCACTATGTTCCGAGCAGCTGCTTAGTGCACTTTGGCAGGCCCGGCCTGGAAACCCCGATGCATCATCTCAAACTAATCATATTAACCTTCTCACAGGACCAGCAGCTGGTTCTATGGTACCCGACAGTCAGCGAGACCCACAAAAATGGGCCTCACAATCCCACAACTCCCCAGAAAGCCGGCCTCCAAACCGTACGGTGCGCAGCTCCGCACCCTCAGAACTGCCTGGTAACAAGCTGCCCGACCTGATTGGCTGCAGCATCTGAGCACCTTTAATCTCAGCCCCGGGCCAAAACACACACGGTCTGCAAGTAACACACAGGCAGGCTGCAGAAGCTGGATGCTTTGGGACTCGCAAATGGATGCGAGCACACACTGCAGAATACAGCCCTGTGACTGGGGGCACATCTATATCACCTATAAGAACATTACTTTACAAATCTGTCAGCATGCATAAACATGCCACATTTATGCATCCTTTTTATTATTATTATTTTTTTTTTTACAATAAAAAGCCTTTTATCAAATATATAATTTCAGAATAAGGATAGAGCATAGTAGTACAATGTGGAAATATAAGATTCCGTAGTTATGTGTTCTTCCACTGCTGACAGTCGGCTGTTGTACCGTAAGGCTGCACTGTGCTTCACAAATACACACATTCGGGATCTGCAGTACCACTGAAGGCCGGCAGGCGGCATAGTGGAAAACTGACCTAAACAATTAATACTAATGTAATTATTCGAATAGATCCAAGTGTTTAATTCTCACCCGTTCATCAGTTATTTAAACATGTTTACAGAAAGATATATGGAGCATAACAGTGAATTAACAACCTACTTTATACTTATATATACTTTATACTTTAATATTGTCGTGTGTGTGTGTGTTTTAAGGAATTTATCCGTGGGAGCAATGAAGTATATCTATCTACTGGGGTTTTGAATACAATACATATCCATGGCCTCGGTTCAATGGTTTTAAAAATAGTATAAAAAGATCCATATTGTTATTTCACGCAGTATCAGTTAGTACCAAGCACGATACGTAGTGAACATCCTCTGACCATAAACCGTATAATACAGTCACGGAAAGAGACTCACTCTACTTCGATCTGACAGTACTTTATACACCATTACCCTCGCGTGTTTCATATTTGTTGCACAGCAATATGCATAAACTCCCATTACGTAACCACAAATAGACACTTACGTGTCCATTTCTAACACTTGAAAATACAAAAAAACACAAGCAAGCAGGTCCCGGCTTCGGATATAAAACACATCGTCATGGTTTCTGCTACGGCCAGTACCTGTCAGTACATAGTACGCCTGTGCAACCCTCCGGCTCACTGGCGCTCAGCCTTTGCACGCGAAGCCAAATTAGGGCCTGGGTAGACCAGTGCCACTCAGATTGACAGCTGGCCCGTCCAATCGAAAGAGTTGTATTGTGTGTCGTACATAATGAGATATTTAAAAATTACATATTGGACAGGCAACATAATACAGGTAAGATAATTTAAAAAATATTCCTGTTTGTCGAACAAACATCGCAGGCTAATTCACAGTATTTTTAAGTTTAGTCCGACATGTGAACATATAAGCTTAGCTCGTCAGTTAAGGGCTTTTTCTATAGAAATCCAACTATAATAATTTTATACCGGTATCAGTTCCTCCTCTTTCCCAATAGTGGTTTCATCAGTTCAGGCGACCGATTCCTTTCCACTGCGCACACGCGGCCAGTCTGTCTGTCTCTGTCTGTCTGTCTCAAATCAAATCATCATACATTACAGTCTAATGTATAATTGAACCAATTATTGACGTTAATTTTGAGAAGAAAATAAATTGTTGAGAACTATCTGAGTCATGCAGTTATTTTATTACGTTGGAAATTTTGTAAATGAATAAAATAATTTAAATGCATGTAGAAGGGGGCTAATAACTATTCTGTGTGAAATCTGACAGTAGAAAATAGTGGCCCACCTTTTTTCAAAGAAGTCCATCCATTTTAAAATTTCTGGCCAAGCCACTGATGCACACGCGCCGCTCCGCCGTCGAGGCGCCGTACAGAGAAAGGGCTCGTACGAGCAGCCGTTTTCCACACCATTCCCTCATTACACCGCTCATTAACCCGGGGAGCAAGCGCCGGTGCAGCCGAAGGGCTTGAGTCCGCTAATTGGCAGCTGCGCTTACAGTCTCAGAGCGGCAATTAGCGTCGAGAGACCGGGGACGGGCGATTAGATAGCGCCGAAAACAGAGTCAGATCGCCCGGACCAGTAACTCTGATGGTACTGATACTTGCGAGCCCTTTTCGTGATTTGTAGGACATTCTTTCATCGATAGGGCGTCACCGACTTCAAATCATGTGTTTAATAATTCAATTACTGTGCTTGTGCAGGCGGCCATTGACACCACTTATTAATTAGGCATATGTGCCCCTTATTAAGCAGTACGTGGCATTACTACTTGTGCTATATAGTACTATACTATACTCTACTCAGTGGTGGACAGAGTACCTGAAAAACATACTCCAGTAAAAGTAGGTAGGTATAGGAAAGTTTACCAGGATAAACGTTATAATCACCTATCAAAATACCACCTGAGTAAAAGTCTTAAAGCAGCGATTCTCAATCCATGGGTCGTAACCCAAATTTGGGTCGCGACAAGTTTTGAAAGGGTCTCAAGGCAGAGTTGTAAATGTAAGCATTTTAAACCCAGCAAGATCCTATGCTGATCCACGATCAGATTTCCCAGCCCCAATCCTAGAATTAACCGCTATATAAACAGGTCTTGGGTCTGCAAATGCTTAGCGCAAAACTAGTGAACATGTAACCAGCTAACTCACCCAGGGTAATACTAGTAATACTACTATGACAATGTTAAAACAGCAACTGAGAGACACTCATTGGTGAAGTAAATGACAAAGTGACATGTCAAAACCATGGGTCTGCTGTTTTTATGAGAAATCTAATGGCAAGAAATCTTACCCATATGGTCAGATCCATATTATTCCGTCATAAACTTAAAATGAGCTACATCAAAGGCGTTGGGGTAGTTTGCAAACCCAATAGACTAGTTACAAGTTAATAAAACTCTTACTTAAATAGTTTGCCTATCGCCAGAACAGATACACGGATGTTGCAGCGGGATCCTGGACATCCTGTCAGATCCTGGACATCCTTGTAGACTATTGTACAGTTTATGTACAGTCTTTATGTACAGTACTGTTGTACAGTTGTTTTCCAAATTAGAATTTGGAATTTATGTTCTGCACTTAGGAACTCGTGACCCAAGACCTTCACTCACTAGTTCACTCGTTCTAGTGATGTGACATTAAAAGCTATTTGATTCGATTTCAAATGCGCGTGCAGACTTGTCTCGAACCGAAAATCTCACGGCGGCCATCTGACCGAAGCTGCCAACCCTGTATTCGACTGCCATTATCAGTCTCCTATTTACACAGAGCACCATTATCAGTCCGGGAAGTCGTTTGTTTGTTGTATGAGCCCTGAGACGCAGCGGGGAATAAGCACGGCAGAAATGAAGTTTCCCTGCGGCATCAGACTTAAGAAATACATTCGTTTTCTTCTCGAAGAGCCGAAGCGCTCGCTTTCACGTGATTTTCCTTGTCATTTTTCCAGGATAGAGAGACGGAGTGACGCTGGCTCTAGCCCGCGTCTTCTCCTGGTACTTGCGCAGCTTAGTGGCACAGCTGGTGACCTATAACTTAGCACCTGCTACAGGTGACACCTGGCACAGGACGCCTGTGCCACCGCAGACTGGCACCACGTATGGATGATCCCGCCTGCCTGTGTAATTTCATCTTATCAGAAACGTCACTAACAGCCCTAAGTGCCATCGCCAGTCCTCCTGCCCCAGAGGGACTTTGCCTTCCGTATCGTCAGTGGCTCCCTACGTTTGCTTTGACGACGACTTGTCAGTATTTAGTGGTTTTGTACCTTGAAATATATGCAACAAATTCAAAGACAGAAAGATCAGGTGCAGAAAGTACAAATCCAGACCAAAGTTTTGTTCCTACCACCTAGTTGAGCATAAACAGTCACAGCTAGTACTCAGCTGGCTGGTTGAAACAAAACCTTGGTTTGGATTTGTATTTTCTGCACATGAACGTTCCACTTCTGTCCAAATTAGAATTTGCTTCAACTTGCCTTGCTTGGTAATTACAGTTGTCACTTTTTAAACTGTCGGTTTTATCGGTTGTTTCATTGGGCCATTTAATGGCTGATTAGTTTTCATAATTTGGGGAATAGCCTATTAGGAAAACGTGTTATATTTCGAGTTGTTTCGTTTATGCTATTCATATGAAGGATCTCATTCGAAACTTCCCTGAATTAGGCGTATCGTTTCTGTAATCTTTAATGCATATTAAATGACTCTGTCGTGGTGTAATCTGGTTTATAAAGGATCTCCGTTCCTTTGAGCTGCTGCGCATCGATCACCATCGTCGAGGATAATCGGTGCAGCCAAGTCTAACTGTATAGGAAAGGACTGAACCTCGCAGCCGTCAACGGTAAGATACTTTCTGATATCTCATCGGCTAGGTATTTTAGATGTTTCTAAAAGAAATACGGTGTCTTGTTTATGACCAAGAAAAGGGGGGAAACTATAAAACAATTTGAGGTCAAAATGTACAAAACATTTTGAGATTAAATAAAAAAAAAAAATAATTTAATGTTTAGGTTTAATGTTGAATAGCTTCTCCTAGCATACGCGAGCCTTCGTGTCGTTGCTGAATCTGAGGCAAGTTTATGGTGTCGTAATGTAATACTATTCACCTCCTACAGATATGTCACTGGCGGGTTTCTACCGTTGAACTTTTTTTACCGACTTTTTTTTTTTCCAAAACTGTATTTCGACTATAGTCTCAGAACTTTTGATTTCGCTGTCAAAGCTTCATATTTTTTTGTTCCTTTTCTGTAGCTCTAATAGGCTACTCATCTACAAGTACCAATATGACATGGGAATAGTCATATATTTTGAATAGCCAAATATCCATTTCAACAGGTATATAATAATATACTTTCCTTATTAAAATCTAACCACGTCCCTTCTACAGCATCATCAGGAAGGCGTTTGTAGTCCGCAGCTTTGACATGTACTGTATGCATAAATTCAGCCTTGCGGTTTTGAATGTGGAGAGTGAAAACAGTGAGATATGTCTGAATGAAACTAATCCTGACTGAACCTCGGCTGCATTATACAACTAAATACATTTTTAAAACAAAAACCATATTTTAAAGAGACTTCGATTTTTTAAATGGTATATGATCTTTAGGGAAAATAAATGTGTTTTAATTCAGGATTTGGAACACCAGAGGGACACGGATCAGACTAGGCTGTCAACTTGTTATGGCGGGCTATATTATAGTGTTGGTAAATTTCCAACTCAGCAGAGGTGATTTAGCAAGGTCAGAGGCACCTGTGCTATCTGAGTTGGGGGGGGGGGATAAAATGCAAAATTTGCCGAGCTGGGGAGGCGGTCACCGACGATAGAATTTGCTGACTTCAGCCTGGGTAAACCTGTGCAGTAAGCATCATTGCTACCCTGCGATCTGTATGATCAGAGTAAACATTTTCATGCGATTGTGGTTTTATTCGGCCTGAACTGAGCACGACACAAACAGGAAGTACAGGAAGAGAAACAGAATGTGGTTTTGATAAGGTCTAACGACTCTTCCTCAAATATTAACCATTAGCAATACGTCACAGTCAATACACTGACAGTTTGTTTATATATGTTTAGCAGAGTGGGTCTGTGATATTGAAGTTCAACGTTTTCAGTTTCATAATTTTGGTATCGTTATAGTGAACACGAACTGTTTCCATTGCCTTTGTCCTTGAAAAAACAAAAAGTAAAAATTAAAAGGCTTGGCCAGTATGTAGTATTTAAATTAAAATGTCTAATTAAAATAGAGGTGAGTGGAGAAACTGCTCCTACTCCTTGCCGAGACACTGAAAGGCAAACAGAACCCCTGCAGGCCTTTAAATCGAAATCACTGATGCTCTTCAAGAACAAAGGTGAAGTACCCGAATTTCAGCTGTTACCTACACAACAGTTATATTTAGGATAATTACTAGAATCTGCTCTAATTATGTGATTGTTGTAGATGGTTATTACTACTATTTATAGTGGTGTATTTTGGTGGTAAATTCTTTGAGGACCACCAAAATCGAATGGTGCGTATCATGGTGTGCCCGAGAAACCGCGCCTCCTAGTGGTGAAGTGAAAGATGGCCGCTAATAGCGTTTACCATGAACCCCCGCAGATCACTCCCAGACTTGCAGGAGATTCCTCCTGGTTCCCTGGTACTGATGGCTACCGACGACGAAGGGAGCAGCAAGTGAGTCAGACACTGGCTCATGTCCTTCAAACAAGCAGTATTCTTCAGAGCTGGTCTTCAGATAAGCCTCCAGTAGAGTCTCCGTGGGGTTGAAGATCTCACCAGATTCTCCATAGAAATAGTGTTCTTTGCTGACAAGCCCTACAGAAATGGTTCCCCACTGGGCTGTAGACGTATGTGAATCTTTATGCATTTCTTCAACTAATTTGCATGTGTACTTGTCTAAACTACTACAGCATCTTTCCCTAGTTCTGCATATTTTGCACCAGGGTTGGGTCATGGGGTGGGGGGGTACAGGATTTGCAGGCCATGCCCCCCAAGTGAGCCATTGTCTCCCCAAATATCACTGACTAAGGACTCCATCTTTTATTTTTTAATTAAGGCGTTCATCCTAAAATATCTGCAAATGTACAGCTCAGTAAAAAATTGAGCAAGCAAAAGTTTTAGTTTCACTCACTTCTCAGTTAATGGGTGTTTCTGTGTAAAATATACATATCTTTTGCAAACTGCAGCCTGGCTCTTCCCTGCTTCTCCTTGATGAAGGGCTTCTTCCTTGCTTTATCAAGGGCAAAAGTAAACTAAGCTAGCTTTTGTGTGACATAGTGTCACGACCTGATTAATTCTGAAATTAAGAACCCGCCGAGAGAGAATCCAATGTGACTTATTTACTGACGATCTGTTAGCTTTATGGTTACAGTTGGTCTCCTTGTCAACCAGGCTGAAGCACGAGGCCAAGGAGGAGATGAAGAAGCTCGGCAGTAACCTCATTGACCAGATTTCTTTCCGCTCAAGCTGGGTCCTCCTGGGTACAAAGGGAGTCCCAGAGCATCTGAAGAGGGAGACGGTATGTGAGGACGCACCTCCATTCTACGTGGCCTGATTCTTCAGTCTGCTGTCAATCCTTCTCCTGTGTTTCTGTAGACCAGTGTTTCTCAAACCAGTCCTTGGGGATCCCTCAGGCGGTCCACATTTCTGCTCCCTCCCAAGTGCCTGGGAATAGACCACTGTTGTAGACCACTGTCATAGTCGGATGCTGGTATGATTCCTCACACACACACACAGCCTCGTTTACTTGTTTAAGGTCAGCATGCCCTGGATGGCTGGCTCGTTGGACCTCCAGAGGTTTTTCTCCAGAGGTACCAGCCCTAAAAGTCTGGTTGTCCGCTCCTCTGCTGTCTTCTGATGTGGGACAAGGCACACAAATGTTTGTAGACATACATCCTTAAATGCTGAGATCTTGACATCCATGCTGAAATGTGAATTCTCTGAGTTTCAGATGGTCCACATAACCCAAGAAACGGGCACCTACAACGGCTGGCCCCATGAGGCGGCGGTCGAAGGGCGCATCCAGACTTGGGCGTAAATTACGGGGGGGATGGGGGGGGTTGTAGAAACCAGCCAATACAACCCCCCCAATAATCATGTTTCTGCTGTAATGGGTGGAGACCTCAACCCCCCCAATGTTCCAGCCAAAGTTACGGCACATAATCATGTCCTGTGCAAAAATGACGTCTTAACATCCTGCTGGTATATAGTCCCCCTTATAAAGTTTACATCCATGCACATACATCAGTTTTCATATTAAAATGAAGCTCAGTATGCATTTGCAATCACATTTTTTTTTATTAAAAAACAACTCTTCTTAAAGTTAATCTATATGAGCATGCAAGTGTATTTTAATCTAAATCATGTGAGAATTGTACAGTTAAGAATATCAAACTGATTATTGTGCATGTAGAAATTACCATTTTTGTATTAAAAAATTATAAAATTCCACAATTTACCTTTTCCTGATATATGGTCAAAAAGACAAATTCACACGTGCCCATTTAAATAAACAAATATCTTCGTAAACTGTCACATAGATACACTTATGCCTGTTGGGGTTTGCATTGCTTGAACTGGCGCCCTCTGCTGTCCACCTGGGTGCTTGCAGGTAAAGGCGGCTGTTGGCTTGGCAGAGGCACTGCCGGACTCTCAGAAAGCGTCATGAAGGACTGAACTCAGAAACAGGCTGAAGATCGTTCAGAAACTCAGAAGCGTCTTCCCCGGCCCGTTTGCCTCAGCTCCACGCTCGCACTAATTATTCTGCAACAGATGCGGAAAAAGCATTTGGTCCCAACATCGCCAGAAACAAGCTCCTGTACTGCTAGGTGTTTGTCTAACTCAGTGTGTCTCCACCGAGTCCTTAGGGAACCCCAGACAGTCCACATTTTTTCTCCCTTTCAGCTCCCAACAGACCAATACCTGGTATTTGATGTTCCTGATTGGCTGGGAGCTGAGGGGGAGCAAAAACTTGGACTGTCTTAGGCTCCCCAATGAGAAACACTGGTCTAACTGTTCTACATCTTATCAGGCTTACAAAACATAGTATTCCTTCAACAAAAGTATGCCCAGCCGTGTAAAATGATACATATTTGAAGCTGTAGAAGTATGTAAGCAATTGCACAATAAAAGGTATGATGTATGACAGTGTTTCCCAATACGGTCCTCAGGGACCCACAGCCAGTCCGTGTTTTTGCTCCTTCTCCGCTCCTGGTAGGCAGCTGGAAGGGAGAAAAAAAAAAACGTGGCCTGTCTAGCAGACAGCTGGGAGGGAACAAAAATATGGACCGGACTGTGGGTCCCAAAGGACCGGTCTGTGGAACACTGACATATGTGAATGACCTTTAATTGCTTCTCGAGCTTAAGCTTGTGGACACTTGTTGAAAGCAGAGGTCCCTCGTACCCGCATCTGCTCGTAGATCCAGCTGAGGAAGAAAGTCACGTTGCCGTAGACGCCGGGCTTGTTCCTGAGGGCACAGCCTATGCCCCAACTGGTGTCTCCCACCAGCCACCACAGGGAGGCATATTCGGTCACCAGGGGACCCCCGCTGTCACCCTGAGGGACACAGATGGTGACATGGCTCTCTCCAGTACTGAGCTCCAGACAGGGGACATCTTACCCTCAGCCAGCTTCTGAACGACTGTCAACTCCTTTTCAATAGGAGTGTCCGTGATGTTTTTCTGCATTGCATTTTATTTATTTAGCACAGTATTTCTCAAACTGGCCCTCAGGGATGAGGGAGCAAACACAGATTGTCTGGGAGGTCTCCGAGGACTGGTTGTAGAAACACTGACTTTTATCCAAAGGGACATACTTCATATATTTTTTTAGAGAAAGCAGGGCCAGACAGTGCCTGGAGCAACTGGGAGATAGGGATCTTAGTCAGGAACTGCATGATGACATCACTCGACAATGGGATTCGAACCAACAACATGCTGATCACAGGTACAGCATCCCAACCCGCTGAGCCTTAAGCTACCCTGCAAGGTGGCGACTGCTCCATTTTTCCTTCATCCTTCATCCCCGTTAAGGTCTCTCCCTGAACACTGCTGCGCTTGCTTACGCTTACTTGTCCAACTTACCCCATTACTCTGATGACCCTGGGATTGGAACCGGCGACCTTCCGATGACAAGCACAGCGTCCTAACCCTCTGAGAGGCACATCTCCCTACAAGTCAGCCGACTTGGATGTTTAACAACAACGCGACTCGCCGTTACCTGGCACGCGTCCACGCCACCCTCCAGCATGCCGGCGCAGATCATCGACTTGGTTATCGCCCCGGAGTACACCGCCGGGTTATTGCAGGTTTCTCTGTCGATTATGGACACCTGAGCCTCCATCAGAACTTTGGACGAGGGTCCTGGAAGTGTAAGACCAAGAAGAACCTAAGGGTTTCGTGTCTGACTTGCTGATCGAGACAAGCTATTTAGTGACTCAACTAAAACAATAAGTATTGAATGAAAACATTTTTGCAAATGCAAGAACTGTAATATAATTAAAATCCACTTGTAGTAGATGGAGAATTTTTCTTGAATTATTGTTTCTTTTGGGTTCCAACAGCCAAAGTCCTTACCTTGGTTTTCGGTACTCCCCCACCCTGAAATCCAGCAGGACCGAGGTGCGGTGAAGCTGAGCCCCACATTGGGCAGACACACGGGCCTTATGACATCTACAACAGAGAAGCAGCAGCTTACAGAACGTGCTAAAACCATCCCAGAACCAGTACATCCCCAAAACACAGAACCATGTCTCCATCCCTAATATTTCAAAACTTGGTATCTCATGAGCCTTTTGGGTTAGAATCCTTGAATCTCATTGTTTATTTATGTTAACAGCCAATAGGATGTGAACAGCTGCCCTACCAGACATTGGGAGTGGCTCTCTCAGCTTCATGAGGGCAATGTCATTTTCGTCCGTCATACTGTTGTAGTTCTGGGAGATGATCAGCGCCACCTTCTGGCCGTTATACATCATGTCGTCCTGGTTCAGGTAGCCGGCATACACGGTCCAGTCCAATGGGTTGCTGTATCTGAAATTGGGTCTCGGACATTAGGAAGGAGTTGGGGGGGGGGGGCGCAGCACGTAGCCCCTACCAGGACTTACCCATCGATACAATGTGCTGCTGTGACAAGCCAAAGTGGCGTGATGATTGAGCCACCACATGTATGCTGAGACTCCAGGTGCAGGCTGACCTGCCAAGGCCACGCCCCTCTCCGGGCCGCCTGACCCCCAATGATGCGGGAAGTTGTAGGGCCTCTGCGTGAGCCACAGTCTGGGGAGCAGAGGCACAGAATCAGTACCAGCAGGATAGTGCATTGACTGGAGCAAAGTGTTAAAACTGGCCGAACACAGATTCAGAGTCAGCTTAAGTTTTTTCTCTGCCCAGAAATGATATTCAAATTTTTATTTTTTTTTTTCTTCACAAAAATAGGATCTCAAGAAAAACAAAAAAATCCTCACTAAACTAGGTACTAAAATAAAGCTTGAAAAAGAGATTCACAATGAAATTCCGTAATCATGCTGAGGAAATGAAAAGTTAGGTGTGATTCCCCTACAGCCATAACTCCAGAAGTATTAAATATAATCACTTGAGATTTGAGTCTTCATTTGACATCAGAATGAAACATTCTGAATAATTAAATCTAACCTGGGCTCATTTTTAGCTTTTACCTGCCGGGACATACTACACACACACCCCCCCCGCCCCCCCCGGACACCCTCACACAGAGAGGCTTCAGTGTCTCGGTGCCACAGAACCAGACGGACCGGATGGATGCTGGTGTACTTTGACCACTGCATGTGACTAGTCACTCTAACTCACCTTCCAGGCTTCCTCAGATTTAACGAATAGCTTACCGATGCATCGAAGTGTGACGACAGCATCAGCTGGGCAGGAGGCACTGAGGTGGGGGCCAACAGGTCACATGATGAAGGGGACAGAATTGTGAGACAACATTTATTTATAAAACATCGCAGGATCGCCAACTTTGGTCAGCTGGTTAGAGTGAGATTTTCAGTCCGACAAGTCTGCACGGGGATTTACATGAATGTAAAAGAGTTCTATTACCTTGTAAATAGTCTGAAAGGTTTGCAAACTACCCCAACGCTCTTGATGTAGCTAATTTTAGGTTTATAATGCAATAATTTTGATTTGCCGTAAAATTTCTTGCGTGACCGTGAATCCGAAAACACAAGTGTCACAGCAGATGCATGAGAGTTGGAAGCCCTGGTACTGAGAATCAACAAAATCAGATTAGGTACGGCGGCGTAGAAATACTGAATGTTCCAGAAGCACATTGAAAGGACAAAAGCACCACCGAAGCAGATGGAGCACTTGGGTGGCATGTAAATGATTTAGCAAGTTAAAAATCTGTCAGGCGGGACCGCGTCTGAGTCAATGTATCAGATTTCATGCCACAGAAAATGAGACGTATACTCTGGGAATGAGAGGCGTGCAGGAAGCAGTGCCCAGAACACATCTCCGTTTCGGGAAATCATTATCACGTTCCGAAACCAGCCTGTGAAATCCCGGCCCAGCCGAGTCAATCATTAACCAGGTTCAGTAACGGGCTTTGTCGGACCGTGACCCTAATGTTTCCCTCCCAGTCAAGACAGTCTGAGAATGACTGGGCGACACCTTGGATTTGAGCAGACGTGATGGCAAACAAACGCTGGTGTGCAGGACCTGCCGTGCTCTCCGTGTGTGTATGCGTTTCTATGCTGACTTGCAGCGAGTGTAAATAACCATTTCTGCTTTTCACACTTCACCTGAACAATGCTAGGTGGACAGTCGTCCATTTATACATTTGGATTTTTTTAATTAATGCAGCGCTCTGTAAGCAGATCGTTCTAGGGTCAAACAGCAGGCCCCCCTGGACCATGCAGGTAGTCTTGGCAAAGCTGAGGTGTTTTTGGTAAAAATATACATTTTGTTGCATCAGAGAACCCTGTTTACTTCCGTAACAGACAGTGGGTCTGTTGAGTGTGACTGAGAAACCAGAATATTTCAGGAACTGGACCCAGTAAGGGATGAGCTGCTTTATCGAGGTAAGAACAATCAGCCTGCCTTTCTAACCAGGAGAATGAGCAGATAAGTCGGAGAGACGGAGCACCTGTCCACGAGGTCCTTCAGAGCAGGCTCTCCGGGTTGAGATCCGGGCCTCAAAGTCACGTAGCCGCTGGAGTCTCCGCTCTTCGATGCCATTTGACCGGAGCTGACGTAGGTGTCTCTGAAAAACACAGAAGGTCAACCAGTCCACCAGGGCCCACACCACCAACAAGAACAGGGGGATACAGATGAGGAGTAGGAGAGGAGAAAGGAGAAAGACAAGGGACCATATCAGGGCCGGTCGATCCTATGGACGACATGGGTGGTTTTCATACAAGACTTCATAGTCTGTATATTGAGTATATAAATTCTTATCTTTATTCATACTATGCTCCCAAATAAGAAAAAATAACACACCTGCTTTTTAAGATATTCGTATTAGTATAAGGTTTATACTTACTTTGATGGGGCACAAATGCTCATTTATTACTGAAGTACAAATCATGAACAAATATAGTCACTTCTTGAGATAAAAGATATGTCACGATTCGTTGCTGAAGAACAAACATGAGATCAGTACTTCACTTGCGTTACTCATGACTCGTTCCTTCGGTGGTTCCTTTACAAAGGTTTACAGAAATAACAGATATAGTAACAGATATCTGCTTGGGATAAAAGATGTGTTGCAATTCATCAATGGTGAATGAACATGAGATCCGTATTAACTAAAACTTAGTTTGTGGTAAATTAATACTAAAGTATCGGCAGTATGTAGTAGAATACTACATTATTTGCATCCTGTCAAGTAAAGTGTTACCATTAGTAACAGTCTAGGGTGCCACATGGGCTCGACCACCACAGTCCAAATGAGCGCTGACTAGGAGCCCAGCCTGCAGGGATCACGACTCACTCTTTGTAGCCGATCTGTCGACACGCGCTCCTCCCGTGGGTGTCTGTCCAGCCTTCAGCACACACCGACCTCCAGGACTTGCTTTTGGGAGAGAACATCTGAAGGACGAAATCCTGGCCATAGAGGCGGACTAGAAAAGAGAGGCGGCAGAGTTGTAACGTGTGAGAGTCTCAGCTTGCGACCCGGCCGCTCAGAGACGCCCAAGAGCCCGACCACGTCACGTTGGGGCCCGAAGGAACAGACCCCCCCCCCCCCCCCATCCCGATCACTGCAAAGCCACCAAGGGTGAAAACCACTCCCACAACCACTCCTTATAAAACAATGTTAGCGGTCTATGTCTGGGGACCGTATTGCTCAGCGGGCTAAGACTCAGTGCCTCTGATCAGAAGGTTGCTGGTTCCAAAGGCCACGATTTCACAGTTGGGCCTCAAGACCCACAAACCCCAGCTGCTCCAGGGACTGTCTGAATTTGCTTTGAATAAAATCATTTGCTGAATAAGTGAATGTGTGGAAGCTGTGCTGCGAAAGGCGCTACAAAACTGGAACTGAATGTACGTCCAATTAAACCAGTCTGTGAAAGCCCAGCAGGGGAATCCAACTGGTCCAATCAGCTCAGGTGTTGCCTGCAGTCCTGTAGCATGCTGGAATAGACTACACCTGTCCGCACCTCCGGTGTCCTCATGCCCCCCCCACTCCCCCACTGCTCTGTGACTTGCTATGGTGACGGAATCTTCCGGACATGAAAAAAAACAGGTTCTCTCTGGAGATCCAGGGAGTGAACACTCACAGCAGCCGGCTTCAGCGCAGTGCCGGGACGCCTCTGGGCACCCCCCTAGGTCAGTACAGCCCTCCACACTGTAAAACACTGGGATGGAAAACAGGAGTTTGTGTTGCAGCTGAGCGACCTTCAGAAAGGTGTGACAGCTTGTCCTGAACTGACAGAATCACAGTCACAAATTCAGAATCTCAAATACGCAGCGGAGGACTGGAACAAGTGCTTACATGTCAGTGGAAAAAGGCTACGCAGCGGCAGAGCTAAAATTGAACACCGTGTTCTACAGAGTGACCAGCAGGGGGCAGAGTGGTTAAAGAGCTGTGTTTGCAGCCCAGAGGTTGCATTGTCAAAAATCTGACAGCTAAAAGGACAGCATGTTACATTCCTGGTACATCTGCCATATAATCACAATGTGTTATCACACAGCCTGGTACAGAACCTTCAGATAATGAAGAACTTACAGAAAAACCACAGGAGAATGCCGACCACAACCAGCAGTAAGCACCCGAAGACAATCAGAGTGATCCAACTGCAGGACGGCCTCCTGACTGATGAAAGGAAACATGTTTACTGAGAAGTAAATGCAACCAGGCAGACGGGGGTATAGCTCTTCTACGTTTGATTTATACGGATGCAAGTACCAACAGAAAAATGTCAGTACGTTTGCTTTGGGGTCATCTTCCCGTCTTGTATTCCTACAGAGTTAAGCTGAATATTGCTCTGTATATTGTCTTAATTCAGATGACAAACTTTTCAAGAGAACTCGCACAGCGAAGAGGACAGAAGTAAAGCTGAGGAATTAAGCTGCGATTCTGTCATTACCAGGATGGGCAGGGCTGGCCGGTGGGTACGAAGGTGCGGAGGTGTTCCGTGTGTTGATATTCTGTGGGACATAGACGGGCAGTCCGGTCCGGACAGCCGGGCTATGTGAAGACGGCCCCGATCCTTCCTGAAAGCCATAGTTTATATAATAGGGGTTCCCCTTCTGCAAAACACGGGGAGAGAGACATCCGTGATTTTCATGCGCGTTTTTAATTAGTCCTCTCACTAATTCAGCTTCTCAACCTGATACCGACACTTTGGGTGGAAACTATTGTGTAATCGCCTATTTATTAATTCATTTAATCGGTGTTCCATAACCGCTTATCCAGTACATAGTCGGAACAAGCCGGGGAAATGTTTTACGTTTTGCACGTTAATCCATAATCTGGGGAAATTAAAAATGAATGCTTTACGCTTTCATTACGTCAGCATTTAAATACACACGTGATGTGTTCAGAATTTTTTTCCAATGTCCTGTATATATAAAATTTAGCAGGAATAGGCCTATATATCTATAGGAATGGAGGGGGAAAAAAATCGACGACTGACTTATTCAAACCAGATGCGATGTTACAGGCATGTATAGGCCTATTAATTAGACAGAGATTCTATATACACTTATTATGATCAGATTTAATGAATACATTTAAATATTATGCTCACTGTGACCGTTAAATAAGCGTGATTATCATTAAACCTGAAGAACTGTCGACTTCACAATTATTTACAAAATAGGCCTAAATGTATGAAATTATAGAAAGGTGGAAATCATTAAAAAATAAATAAAAGTGTTTACCGTATTCGTTGTCATAATTCCTCGGAGAAGCCGAAGTTCTCCTTCGTGTGAAACACTCCCTTAAAATGAGAAAAATAACCGTTTTTTATAAATTCATTAATTTAAAAGCCGGACCGATGCAGCCGATTCAGATCAAACGATAAGCGAGGTTCGATCGCTTCTCCCGCTAGTCCGGCTGTAATTAACTCCACGGAGAACACAAACTTTCCCGCAGTGTCAAAGTTTTCAGTTTGCCTCTATACGGAAATCAGTCGCGTTTATTAAACTGCAAACCACCGAAATCATGAGTTAATCAACGTCCAGCGAAGTCCGAATGTGCATGGCTGCTGTTATTCTGTGCGTCTCGATCCTACCTGGCCGCTTCCCTCCTGAGATGTGCGTGTTTCCTCCTTTGCGGTAATAACCGGTCGCCGTGACCTGGGCGCTGTATCACTGCACAAGACCAAATCTGCTCTGCAGACCCACTCACCGGTTTACACGCGGACCGCACCGTGAGAATAAAACAGCGGAAATGCTCTATTCCCACAAAATGCAAGAGGAACATAACGATGAAAAGCAGAATATTGCATAAAAAGATCGGTTACACCGTAGTGCCACTTCTATTACACTACCGTGTGAGTCACCGCTATATCAGGTAGCATCTTTAGGTTTGGTGCTGTTTATTGAAAATACGGATAAAAACATTAAATTATTTTAGTAGGCCTATGCATGTTATTGTATGTGTGTATTCCTATTTAAACTGTAGCTAGCTGCCCCCAATCACACCGTAAAGTTTGTACAGTATAAAAATCAGACAGCATTGATTCAGGCGGTTCAGGTTTTTCAGCAGTAAAATAATTAAATGTACGTTTGCCGGTTAATCGTTGACTAAACAGTACGAAGTAAATGTTAATCACTCTTACAGCATAGTTTAAAACTGCTATAAAATCGTATCACGCTATGTCTAGTTTTTCATAATTTAACGTTGGCTGAGTCAGTCCGCATTTAGGTTTCAGACCTAAGAGTTCATTAACCTTGGCCTATTTCTAACAGATCATCGTGTGTTTCCGTAGTTTTTCCGTAATTACTGATGTACAGTCTCGCACCCGGGAGGCCGAAGCTAATTTAGCGGTATTTGTACCGAACATCGTCTCATAAATCGTCGGTCATAATCTGAAACACGTGTCTTCTGGATTTAGTATTAATTGGCCCACTTTGCATGGTAATTAGGGCCTGATAATACTTGGGGATACTAGATATATTCTCTTCAGGTTGCAAGAAAGATCCGTGAGCATTAAATGCACGGAGGTGTAGTTTCATTAATGATTTTATTAATTTTATGTCCGGCAGTTGAATGGGCCCCCTTTATCATATCTGAAGCACCTGAGTAATGTGAGCGGTTACATAGACACGACAATCGCACCCCCTAGTGGTCTAAAGAAGCATGTACAGAGAGGCAAGGCGTCATCGGATGATCAACGTGAACTTGCTAGTAGTACCCGGAAGGGGGCAGACTTCCGGTTAATTTTGGGCACACCCAGGGCCGACAGTGACACGCAGAATAAAGCAGTTGCCTTGGACAGCGTTTCCTAACGTCCCCTATCAGACAGTCCACATTTCTGGGAGGGAGCAAAAACATGGACTGTCTTGGGGTCCCTGCGGACCAAGTCGGAAAACACTGACCAAGGGGCCCCGAATTACCTCACTGGACCAGAACTGGAGGCCCCTGGCCTATACCGATCTGTAACAAACCCAGTTTGGTTTAAAAATACTATCAAAACATCACATCAACATTTTGTTTTCCCAGTAAATATATTTCCACGTGGATTTATAAGCAATACTGTATTTAAGCGGTTTCACACTTTAAAACCACATTAAACATTTCGAAACTTGACACCCCTATTTCCACTTTATCACATCTGAAACCTGAAGCCCTTCATGAGGACGGATGACTAGGGTGGATCTCATCACGAACACCTAAAATCCATTTTGATTGACTGTTCACCCGTCTCAGGACCACAAGCAACACTCACGCCCCTCGCTGTCACTTCTACTTTTGATGGGGGGGAGCAGCAAGGTTTATACAGATAAAAACAGACCATAGCTATTGCTTATTTGCATCAAGTCACCATAACTGTCTGCTTAGTTTCATTCCACCCCCCCACCGCCAACCCTGTTGGTCCATTCCAAATAAATCTGTGAAGTAATCAGAGTCCTGTTCTCATCCACCCCTAGCCCTTTGTTCAAACCTACAACCCCTCCCAACCCATAACTGTTCACCCCTCACACAGGAATCTTCCATGGTTCTCCAACTTCCCCCCCCAGCCCCCACATCAACACACCAGTAAACAGCAGCATGCCCCCGACAGCATGTTTATTCACGCAAAACCAGGATCTGATCTGGAGTCAGTTGGGGGCCGGAGTGACTTCGAACACAGAGCAAAATGGGACAGTCAGAAATAAGGCTGCTGATCTGCTATAAACAAGGAGCTGAAGAGGGTGGAATAGGCGCTCCAGTCACGACGGGCGGGCAAGTCGACTTGATGGGCCGTGAACCTCGGAGAACTTGCTAGAATCTCTGGATCAGGACGGCAGAAGCACCGCCACCACCGTTGCAGATGCCCGCCAGGCCGTACTGTCCCCCCTTCAGATTGTGTACCATGTGACCGACGATCCTGGCGCCAGACATTCTGGAAAGAAAGGGGCGGGGCTTGTCAGTATATTAACGTGGTGGTATTCCGACGGACATCTAGAGTGGGAGGAGCCTAGTGAAATTATCATACAAGCTAAAAGTAGAACTGGCGGTTCCAGCCAATGATCAAGCTGTGTGTGGGAGGAGGGTAGAAGCCCATGTGACCCTACCCGATTGGGTGACCGAGGGAAACTGCCCCCCCATTGACGTTGACTTTCTTGGGGTCGAGGTCCAGCATCTTGATGTTGGCCAGCACCACCACACTGAAAGCCTCGTTGATCTCCCACATGGCGATGTCTTCCTTCTTCACTCCACTAGCCTTCAGAACCTTGAGGGGTGAAAAAAAATGTATATTTTAATGTCCTGCTTTGCGCCAAAATTATTTAAAAAAAAAAATTAAAAGGAACTTGATTTGAAGTTTATATCGAGGGGGGGGAAAAAAAAAGAAAAAAACCTAAAGGCATGAAGTGCATCAAAAATCACACACTTACACAGTACATACTGCATTTCTTCAGAAGCATACTACTGGGACCGATAATGTAGTATGCACCGTATGTATGCATGAGAGCAGTTTGCATGCATTCCGACCCAGATGTGTACCAGTGACATAACTTAGCCCATCAAGTTAAGAACTGTCAAAAACTATTATTGGAGAAAAAAAAAACATTACAACCAAATTATGGAACTGTATTTTGTTTTATACTTAAAATTTGTACAGACTGCACTCCCACCACCATCATGACGCAGATATTCAAGTGACACTCTTCATCTCGGCTTACTTCATCTCCACTGGCCTTGCGAGACAGTGTAGCATCTGTCGTGCACTTTGGAATTTTTTAGAACGTTGTCATCTGGGTACCATTTGCCTACTATCTCACGCGTACTGAGGAATTCAGACATACTGCTCATGTCGAATACTATATTTTGTCTACTACATAGCAAACAAGTATGCCATTTCGGACACAGCCACGGTCCTGAGAGGCCCCACCCATGTCATCGTGGTAACACGTGTGCTCAATCAGGTACTGCCTTTAAAAAAAACGCACCTTAGGCACAGCGTACGCGGGAGCGATGGGGAAATCGATGGGGGCCACGGCGGCATCGGCAAACGCTGCAAGACAGAAAGCGGGACAGGAAGACAGCTGGAGAAGACAGGCCGCTATTGCTATGGCGATGAGACCAGTAGGGCCAGAGGAGCGCAGTACCACATACCGACGATCCGGGCGAGCGGGGTGACGCTCAGCCTTTGGGCCGCCTCGGCGGTCATCAGAACCAGGGCGGCGGCGCCGTCATTCAGGGTGCTGGCGTTGGCCGCGGTCACCGTGCCTGAGGAGGGGACACCGTCAATCAAATGGAGTCGATCACACAGACATGGGACGAGGGGAGAAGAGTGGGGTTGGGGGCAGAGATGGCCACTGTAGAGAGGGTACGGGGAGGATGAGGGGTTGGCACAGCGATGCCCAGAGATCCTCACCGTTCTCCTTCTGAAACACAGCCCTCAGCTTGGGCACCTTGCTGAAGTCGACGCGCCTGAACTCCTCGTCCTCCTTGACCACCACGTCCGGCTTTCCTGAAGAGAGACGCGCATCAGCGTGATGCCAAGCTCAGCGGGTCGGCTGGTGGCACGAATGCTTCAGCGGGCAGGGAGGGGGGGGTTTACCCTTCTGTGGGATGTGGACCGGCACCACCTCCTTGGCCAGCAGTCCAGACTCCCACGCTGCTTTGCTGCGTGTGTACGAGCTGATGGCGAAGGCGTCCTGATCCTCGCGGGAGATGCTGCTGCTCTTTGCAGTGTTCTCTGCACAGTTGCCCTTGATGTGGAGGTCATCATCATCATTATCATCATCATCATCATCATCATCATCATCATCATGGACCACCCCACCCCAACGCCCCCTCACGCACCATGTGAACCTTGTTGTAGACGTCGGTGAGGCCATCCTTCACGATGAGGTCCTCCATCTTCACCCCCCCATAGGGGGGCGTCTCCCGGGCCATGATGTACGGCACGTTGGACATGCTCTCCATCCCCCCCGCCACCATGACGTCCTGCACCGCACACAGGAAGAGGTGGTCATGGGACGGGAAGTGGGTGGAGCATGATGACGGGCCACGCGGTGGGCGGGGCCTACCTGGTGTCCACACATGAGGCCCTGAGCCGCCAGCATGATGGACTTCATCCCCGAGGCACAGACTTTGTTGATGGTGGTGGCCGGAGTCGAGATGGGAAGTCCTGGAAGAAGAAGAGTAATGCCAGTGTGAGCCAGAACCCCCCCCCCCTAATACACACCCACAAAAAGGGGGGAGTCATTTTACTACCTTTGGTATACACAGGGCTGGCTCAACCCTTCGGGGGCCCCTAAGCAAAGTTAGATTAACCTAGTTGTCATTTGTTGTCATCCTTCCCATTCTGACAGGATGACCAGATCGGGACGCCCCCTGGTGGCCAGAAGTAACCACTGTAGATCGCTTCCTACCTGCGCCAAGGAGAGCTTGCCGGGTAGGAGCCTGCCCTTCGCCTGCCTGCAACACGTTCCCCATGTACACCTCCTTCACCTCCTCCACGGGGATCCCTGCCACAGGAACACATCCCAGCTCCATATCGCTCACTTTTCAGAGCTTATCTAAGCGAATGGGAATGTTTGGCACACAGGAAATCGACACAGAGCTCTTCGCCGTGTCAGTGAACTGCTGACCTTATAAAATTTACCAAAGGTTAAAGGCAACATGGCCTGAGATTGGCAGAAAGCCCCCAGGTACCTGCTCGCTCGATGGCCCCTTTGATGGCGACAGAACCCAGTTTTGTGGCCTGGACTGTGGACAGGCTCCCCTTGTAGGAGCCAATCGGGGTGCGGACGGCACTGACGATGACTACCTCCTGTTGGGGACAGAGCAACGGGCACAATCAGGTCACCCCTCGGTCCACAGTTAGCACGTGGATGCTCTCATGATGGAGTTTCAGAGCGCGGCTGCTTGGAGATCTTCCAGGACTGGCGATCGCATCACTCTCAACTCACGTTACAAGTTCACCCTAAAGCGGACCATTCCTTTTATTTTAGGCCAAGATACACCGACCAAAAAGTCATAAATGAAATGTAGCATTATTCTGCTGCTGCATGCTTGCGGCTTTGGACAAAAAAGAAGCACTCAGTAAATAAGTACTCACAGAGGGCAAAACCCCAGCGGAATTGAACAACCGTGAATGAAGGAGACCAAATAGAAAAATAATTAGATTTAACAAGTTGTAACTAAATGTCTGTGCATATTTTCTTCGGACGACAAAAGTGCATCGAAATGTACAGAGAAGCAGTTAGACATTTAACACCTGACAAATTTAAAACGGGTTTTTCTATTAATAAAACGAGCCAGTTACTCACATTTAACGTGGGACGAGAAGCGTAGCTCCTTGACAGGAA